AGGCTCTGGAAGTGGGCGAGTATCTGGAGATTTCGGGGGTCGTTCGCCTCTCAGGCGGGACGCTACGAGAGTAAAGCCAGCAATGATGTCTCCACACCTGATGTCAAATACGTCAATGTGGTGGTCAACTGTGAGCATCACTGGGTGAGTGTGTGTGTGCTATGAGGAGATGTGTAGGTGTGTGGTCAGTGTGTGTGCGCGCTGTGACTGATGTGTGTGTGTGTCCGCAGACCCGCCGTATATAAAGGATGTGCGCAGCTCGGAGACGGCCGTGGGTCAGGCTGGAGTTCTGCACTGTGAAGCGTCCGCCGTCCCACAGCCTGAGTTTGAGTGGTACAGAGACGAGCGCAGGTACACACACACACACACAGTGACACACACACACTGACACACACACATGCAGACCAAACACTGACCACACACACACACACTAATGTTAAAGCGTTAGTTAGCCAGGAGGGTTTTCTATATTTTACAACATTCTGCTAACCTTCCACAAACACTCAGCTAATTCAGGTAATGTTACTGCTAACGTTCAGCTAACCTTGAGCTAACATTGAGCTAAAATTCAGGTATATTACTGCTAACATTGAGCTAACATTCAGGTAATATTACTGCTAACTTTCAGCTAACATTGTGCTAACATTGAGCTAACAGTCAGGTAATATTTTTCCTAACGTTCAGCTAACATTTTATTAACATTTAGCTATCATTGAGCTAACATTCAGGTAATGTTATTCCTAACAATCAGCTAACATTCCACTAACGTTCAGCTAACATTGAGCTAACATTCAGGAATGTTACTGCTAACGTTCTCCTAACATTCAGCTAACATTAAGCTAACATTCAGTTAATGTTACTTCTAATGTTCAGCTAACATTGAGCTGACATTCAGGTAATGTTACTCCTAACGTTCAGCAAACATTGAGCTAACATTCAGGTAATGTAACTCCTAACGTTCAGCTGACATTGTCGAAACATTAAGATAACCCTAACATTAGCTAACAGTGTTCTGTTTCCCTGGCTTGGCTCATGCTCTCCACACAGTTCTCTGGTGTTCAGCATCAGAGATCTGACCTGTCTCTAGATTTACTTCCGACGTCTTCATACAGCAGATAGTGAACGGCTCACTGAGTTGAATACTGTATGTGTTGCGCTCTGCATGCAGTTACACTTATATTTTTATGATATTGATATAATGAAAGGTTTGAATATTCTGGAGCCCCGTCTGCTTCTGTACATGTGTGACGCTCCGCAGCAGACAGAACTGGTGTACATTAATCAGAGCTATGGGGTGTTCTCCTGCTGAAGTGTAGTGTAGATCAGTCATCGGCTCTTCATCTGTGCTCAAACATGAGTCAATAAACACACGAACCATCGTTTTCCTGACAGTACTGAGAGACACCCGATAGTCAAACTGGAGTAGACATGTAGAATGTAGATAACTTCTGTACATTATGATCCTTCAGTGTTTATGTGTGTTCATCAGTTGTGTTGATCAGTAAGTGTGTTATGAGGCATTATGGCTACAGTATGTGTCGAACAGCAGTGGAATATGAGCAGTGTAATTCAGCAGATCGTCCTGTTTTAAACGTGCTCCTGTATATTAATGTCCATATATTAAACACTGCGCGCTCGCCGCTGTTTCATTCACTCTCAGCTCCTCGTCTGAACTCTTCATCAAGTGAACTGATAGTATTGAGAATATCTCCTGTGAGAGTATCGTTATTAGCCAGCGTTTCTGTTCAAGCCTTGATTTTTCAGGCCTGTTATGATTTAATTTCCACAGTAAACTCTCTCTGTCAAACATTCAAGATTAATTGATGCTTTATTAAACATCAGCATCGCGGCTTTGACCAAAAGAAGGATGAGTCTCATATGTGAGGCTGAACATCCTCAAACACAGGAGAGTACTGAACATCAACATACTCTTCTGCATTACAGTCTGCAAACTTTGTGGGAACTCCCCATGTGTGCAGCGTCTGCATTATTGATGCATTATTGGTGGATTATTGGTGGATTATTGGTGAAATCAGACAGATTACGCTCATAATAAGAGACAGGCCTGGTCTGATGATAACTGTCTCTATTTCTGTAATCCAGACCATCATACAGACATAAGGTTGGGCTTATTTAACTCAGACTACATATCTACCAATCACTGATCACCTTTCAACTTACTAGCCACACACTAGCAACCACTTACGACACATTAGCAACTGTCCCATAGACTTCCATTTAAAAGACTGCCATTGACTTTACATTGGACATGCTAACCTCATACTAATCATACTAGCAACATGCTAACCTCATACTAATCATACTAGCAACATGCTAACAACATACTAATCATACTAGCAACATGCTAACAGCATACTAATCATACTTGCAACATGCTAACAACATACTAATCATACTAGCAACATGCTAACAACATACTAATCATACTAGCAACATGCTAACAACATACTAATCATACTAGCAACATGCTAACAACATACTGATCATAATAGCAAAATGTTGTAACAACATACTAAGCATACTAGCAACATGCTAACAACATACTAATCATACTAGCAACATGCTAACAACATACTAATCATACTAGCAACATGCTAATAACATAGTAATCATACTAGCAACATGCTAACAACATACTAATACATACTAGAACCATGCTAATTTATTAGCAACTGCCTAGCAACTAGTCAGAACACCTTAGCAACCACCTAGCAACACCTTAGCAACCGCCTAGCAACCACCTAGCAAGGCCTTAGCAACTGCCTAACAACACCTTAACGACCACCTAGCAACACCTCTGCAACCACTCAGAACACCCTAGCAAGCACCTAGCAACAACTTAGCAACCACCTAGCAATGTCTCAGCAACTGCCTAGCAACACCTTAGAAACCACCTAGCAATGCCTCAGCAACCGCTCAGAACACCCTAGCAACCACCTAGCAACGTCTTAGCATCTACCTAGCAATACCTTAGTAACTGCCTAACAACCACTCGGAACACCCTAGCAACCACTGAGAACACCTTTGCAACCGCCAAGCAGCTCTTTAGCAACCACCTAGCAACACTTAAGCAACCATCTAGCAATGCCTTAGCAACCACCTAGCAACCAATCAGAACACCCTAGCAACACCTTAGCAACAACCTAAAACATCTTAAGCTACCACCAAGCAACACCTTAGTAACCACCTACCAATGCCTTAGTAACTGCCTAGCAACCAATCAGAACATACTAACAACCACCTAGCAACACCTTAGCAACCATTTAGTAACGCCTTAGCAACCACCTAGCTACTTTATAGCAACCACTTAGAACACCCAAGCAAAACCTTAGCAATGACCTAGCAATCTTAGCAACAACCTAGCAATGCTTTAGCGTCCATCTAACAACCGCTTAGAACACACTAGCAACCACCTAGCAACACCTTAGCAATGACCTAGAACACCTGAGCAACCGCCTAACAACCACCTACCAATGCCTTAGCAACTACCCAGAACACCCTAGCAACCACCTAGCAATGCCTTAGCAACCACTCAGAACACCCTAGCAACCACCTAGCAACATCTTAGCAACCACATAAAACACCCCAGCAATGCCTTCATAACTACGTAGATCTTAGATCTCTAAGCGACACCTTAGTAACCACCTGGCAACACCTTAACAACTACCTGGAACACCCTTGCAACTGCCTAGCAACCACTTAGAACACCTTAGCAACCGCCTACCATGCCTTAACAACCAGTCAAAACACCCTAGTAACGCCTTTGTTACCGCCTAGCAACAACTCAGAACACCTTATCAACTGCCTAGCAACACCTAAGCAATCACTTAGAACACCCTAGGAACCATTAAAAAACACCCTAGCAGCTACTTAGCAACCACTCAGAACCCCCTATAAACAGCCTAGCAAGAAACACCAATCCAGACTAGAAGCCAGCGAGCAGACAGAGTTATGACGGCTTCTTAAACCTCTTCACTCATTTAAACTTTGCATCTTCAGACTCTCAGACTCGACTTTCTGCAGACACCATACAGTCTGCCTGCCAACCCCACTGATCCAGCAATATTCAGGCCTGACTTCATGAGGAGATACCAACTAAATGTGTGTGTGTGTGTGTGTGTGTGTGTGTGTGTGTGTGTGTGTGTGTGTGTGTGTGTGTGTGTGTGTGTGTGTGTGTGTGTGTGTTTGTGTGTGTGTGTGTGTGTGTGTGTGTGTGTGTGTGTGTGTGTGTGTGTGTGTGTGTGTGTGTGTGTGTTG